AATTGTGGTACTGGAGGAGACTCTTGAGAGTCCCCTGGACTGCAAGGGGAACAAACCTATCAATGAAGGAAATCAACCGTGAATGCTCACTTGAAGGACGGATCCTGAAATGAGGCTCCAATACTTTGGCTATTTCATAAGAAGGGAAGATTCCCTGGAAAATACCCTGATGTTGGGAAAGTGTGAAGGCAAGAGGAGAAGGGGACGATAGAGGATGAGATGGTTGGAAGTGTCATTGGGGCTACCAACATGAATTTGACCCAGCTCCGGGAGGCAGTGGAGGACAGGGTGGCCTGGCGTGCTCTGGTTCATGGGGAAACAAAGAGTCGGACATGACTTAACGACGAAACAACAGCAACAAAGATAATTTGACACATGTTACATTTCACTGTCCCTCCTTTTCAGTTGAGGCCACAAGACTAATGAGCTCCATTTTGGTATAATTCCTTGGAAGATCTGATTAAGATATAATTGAGGTGCTACTCTCAGATAAAGATAAATTTGTCACTTTTCAAATGACAAGGTTTGTTAAAATATAAAAACGAAGTCTGCATATTCTGCTAACAAAACTAATAGATTAACGTATTTACTTAGGACCCTTTATAACTGAATGGCTAAGCTTTTTGTCTGATGCAATTGTGAATGTTTTATGCTTAGATACAGTACATATGTTTAATGTATTTTAAACCTCAATCAAAACCCAGCTTTATCGTGCAAGCACCATAAAACACTGCAGTACGATACAACACATTTACAGTGGTGCCCCACTTGATGACGATAATCCATTCCAGGAAAATCGCTGTTAAGTGATATTGTCAAGCGAAAAAACCACACCCATTGTAATGCATTGAAAACCGGTCAGTGCGTTCCAATGGGGGAAATACCTCATCGTCCAGCGAAGATTGCCCATAGAGAACCACTGATCAGCTGTTAAAAATCGCTGTACAGTGGTGCCCCGCATAGCGAGGTTAATTCGTTCCGGATTAACTCTCGCTATGTGAAATTGTCGCTAAACGGAACGTAAAAGCCCATTGTTTAATGCATTCCAGTTGGCCCTAAACTTACCATTCAGCGAAGTTTCCTCCATAGCGGCAGCCATTTTTGCGCCCTTGGTAAGCGAGGGGAGGGCGTGAAAACGCTGCATGCGGCCATTTCGGGCGTCCGGCGGCCGTTTTAGAACTGCCCAACAGCTGATCGCCCGACTCTGTGGGAGGTTTGGGGGGTCGGCAGCAAGAGGAGGAGAAGAGGGAAAGTGGGGGGGAGGACGCGCGAGCGCGCGGCTTCCCTCCCTTCGCCTGCCTGCCTGCCTGGCAGCCTGCCTTCGTCCCTGGGGGCAGCAGGAGAAGGACGAGGAGGAAGAGGGAAAGTGGGGGAGAGGACGCGCGAATGCGCGGCTTCCCTCCCTTCGCCTGCCTGCCTTGCAGCCTGCCTTCGTCCCTGGGGGCGGCAGGAGAAGGCAGGAGAAGAATGAGGAGGAAGAGGGAAAGGGGGGGGAGGACGCGCGAACGTACGGCTTCCCTCCCTTCGCCTGCCTGCCTTGCAGCATGCCTTCCTCTTCCCGGCCAGCACAGCCCCACATCACTCTTGCGGCGGCGGCGGCTCCTTCCTGGCACCCGTCTTCGGTAAGCGAGTTTTTTCCATAGGGACGGATGCTATGCCTCCGCATTAGTGATCCCAGAGAAGGGATCGCTATGCGGATTCGTCGTTATACGGTGCGCTCGTTATGTGAGGCACCACTGTAATGCAGAGCTTCCCTCCGGAAAGCAGCCATTTTGAGAAGGAGGGAAGCCATTTTGCGGAACCAGAAAAATCATTGTATAGCGAACAAACAGTTCGCGAAGCAGGCTCCTAATCAACGTAATGCGGATTTCCCCCATAGGAACCATTGTTTTGCGATCACAATAGCGATTGCAAAATTGTCATCGTTAAGCGATTTTGACGTCATGCCGGGTAAGCATATAGCGGGGCACCACTGTATATTGTAATATTGTACTGCTTTTATCATTCCGTTTACCATGGCCTCTGTGCTAAAGTAATAAAATCAGATTGAATTTATTTTAAGATTAAATCAGATAGTTTTAAAATTACAGTTCCTAAGAGCAAAATCAAATGATTTTAAAATTATGATTCTATAAAAGTTCATGATGAATTAGATAGTCCTTACTATCTAGAATGAGTCATGCTCAGCAGAAGCAACTGGTCTGAAATTTCTATAGCTTTTGTAACCATTTGTCATCAAGTTTCTTCTGTTCCATAATGCTTAATGAGGGCCAGTGTGTTTGCCAGAACCGTGAAGAAAACGACACTTTCTCTGTACGAAATGCAAGTATGAAAGACATAAGATTTGGGACTTCAAACCTGTAGGAAAAAAGAGTGGGTGTCTCTTAGCTTTGGTTGATGTTGGGCAACATCACTTGGAGTGCTGCCACTGCACCACAGAGAAGGAAGCCCTGTCAACCTTTCCTACTTGGGAACGGAAAGGGATGGGTTGAGGGTTTGTTGGCCTGATCTTAAATTACCAAGGTGATCTCGGTGTCTTTGCCACAGACTTCCACTCAACCTTGGAACTAGGCAGAATTGTGGGAGATTGCATTTCTGAACAAAATACTTGAAGGGGCTCTGTCTTTTGCTACTTTTGCTACATATGGAAATGTTTTTCTATTTTCAGTTGCTAAGAGTGTTCCTTGTTTTTATAATAGAATCTAATGCAATAACTTTAAAAGACTGGTTATTTCCAGGGTTCTGTCTTTACCCATCAACAGGTTGAGGACAGACGTTACATACAGTATTTTCCAGAGTATTTTTTCTTACCCTCATGCATATTTACATGTGAGGTTTTGGCACTGTTACAGTAAACCATTTTCTCTGATTTTGTTTCTCAAGTTTTCAAAGGAACAGTTTGATTTGTTGAAAATACATATGCTGTTATTTTTTCTATTCTTGCTGAGAAACTTTTAAAGTGTCTTCCATTGGGATAGAATGAAAAAGAAACTTCCTAACGGATATCTATAGAGCTAATTTACCATCTACAGCATTTACCATGTAATTTTGCTTTTGTTGGCTTCAGTGAAGGGTTATCAAATCATAATTATTGGTTTTATTGTTGTTTATGTTATTCCTTTTATTCTCTTTGCTAAAAGCATTTTCCTTCTGCCCAGAGTAGGGATTATTTTCATAGAGTCTCATATTGTAATTTGTGATTAGACATCTTAGATTTTACTGCAGTACGGAAGAATTTCCTCCTCTCGCAGTGCCTATGAGAGTTTTTTTTCTGAACTGATCTCAACATTCTTCTGGCACAAACTTTGGCTGCTGGTATGGGATGCCTTGTTGAAGCAGATACACACTTTGACTTGTGCTTTATTCTAAAACAGATTGTGGGAAAATATCTTCTGTATGTTTTGAAATGTTACACACTTGGTCAGTTATCATTTGTTCTGTGTCTCTACCTCCAGTAGTCAACTCTGAATTTGATTTAATAACTGTCATTTAAGAAAGCCTCTAAAGTTGTCTGATGAGGTTGTAGATAAATTAACAAGCTAACCTGATGTGACAGTATTTTCCAAAGTCTGTTTGCTTATTTTCAGTAAGCAAATAAGACTTCCAGTTGTTTAAATGTGCTTGCGTGGGGAGCTTCTTTGAGTCTTAACAGGCAGAATGTTGGGTACTTTATATAATGTTTTAGTGATATACAGGCAAATAATGTTTTCCAGTAAAGGAATGTTAAATTTTCTGTCATTGTTTTCTAGCTTTGCCTTGCCTGGTAATTTTAGTAGTAATATTTCAGTTTGCAACACCAACTGAATTATTAATGCATACAACCTAGTACAACAGGAATTTAAAATCCTCATTTTGCCTTGAAAGTGGTAGCTCTTCAAATGTTTATCATGATCCTCTGCTGCTAATAACTTTATTTCATCATGTAGGGACTCCTAATGGTCCTCTGTAGAACCTCTTTCAAAATACTGTAGTGATAATGCCATCTCAGTCAATCTGGTTCTTGCTGGCCACTGGTAATGGTGCGGCTAAAAATATTGTAAATAAATAAATAAATAAATAAATAAATAAATCTTAAGAGAGTGGTAGGTAATTCTGCAAGGTCTATGGGTCAGTTTTCTGCCACCAGGACCAACTGGGAGCTACACCAGTTCTGAAAAGGAGCACAACTGAAAATCAGAACTGAATGTTGCTGAAAATCTGATTTCATTTTTGTTTTTGTGCATTTGGGGTGTTCTTGCAGGCTGGGGGATGTTCTCCATTCGATTGTGGAAATGCTGCTGCAAATTATTATTATTATTATTATTATTATTTTGCTGATTTTGTTTCAGCTGAGGGAGTGTCCAGGAGCTGCAAAATTAGCAGCCCCCAAGCCATACTTCGTTTACCCCTGCCTTAAATATTTCCTTTTTTAAATCTCCAAGAAGGGTGTAAGCTATGGTTTTGCCTTGTTAAATAGCCTTTGCATGTTATTCTCCTTCTTAATTTGCTTCTCATAAAATGGAAGCAGTATTAGTCAAGATTGTAAATGCCTTACCTATTTGAAAGTGCTGTTCCAATGATCAGTAATACTTTATCTTTTGTAAGATTATGATTATGTTTATTTTTTATTTTGGGACATTCTAAGTAGTGGAAATGACAGGTTTTAAATTAAACAAGTTCTTGTATTTTTAAAAGAAATATAACAATGTAAAGTCATACACATTTATATAATCTTTTCCTTATCCTTTGAAATGCCAGAAGAGAAATAATTTGAAAGTAATAACAGTAGTGGTAGAACAAGAAGAAATTTGTTTGTTCGTTTGTTTTCTCATTTAGATTTTGTAGTGAGTCTTGCAAAGATTAATTATGTGTATCATCCTCACCAATGTCTTAAGATCTCAAGTATATTTTGCTTTGGAGTTATATAAAAGATTTGCTGAAGTAGTATATAAAAACAACTGTGGTGATTTATCTTTACAATTTCCCTGTTGTGGTTGAGTATGAAACTATTTCCTTTATAGATCAGATCACCAGAGAAAAAATATCAGAAAGGGAAAAAGAAAAACAGAAAGAAAAGAAGAAACATAGATTAATGTCAGAAATCAAGAAAGAGAATGGAGAAATGAAATTATTTCAGAAAGGTAAGTTTGCACAAAAGTGTATAATTTATCTTAAGTGTTTTATGCACTTTATCCCTTCCCTAAATATTTGGGTTAATCCCTAGTTTTGTTATCCCCACACTTCATTTTAATTTTATATGTAGAAACATAATCCTTAATTTTTATTTGCTAGATGGTTGATCTATCTAGAATTCCACTGCTTCTTCAACATGATAGAGATATAAAACAATGGTTACTTATTAAAATTGATAGGCAAACAGATTCTCATTCTGTTTGAGAATCAAAGCAAATCATTCCTGATTTATACAGTACAGGCTTTTTTTTAAAGGGTTAGAAGAATTTGGGACTGTATGTAGGATTTCCCAGCCTATCATCTCAACAGTAGGATAGGGTGTGGTGCATTTGATGACCTGGGCTGTGTGAATCTCAGGTAGCTTGAAGTAGTTCAAAGGTAAAGAGCTTCTAAGTACATCTATTCTTAATGTCTGCCCTAATGTCGGCCCCAGTATGGGGTAAGTAGGATGCTAACTGCTATGCAGTGTTGATCACATGACCATATGCCAAAAGAACTGCCAACACAAATCAGGTGGTTTAATCTTTAAGGTTGTAAGCAGCTTGAGTTCTGGCTTTCTAAAGCAGCCATTCTCAGAGAGGGCCATATGGACCCCTGGGGGCCCCTGGCACATTTGAAGGGGGGCACAGAGTGGAAACAATTCTTCACATACCATCTTACAAGGTTCGTTATGTGACTTATACAATCCTGATTTGGCCTACATTTCTTTTATATTGTGTTTGGGATCATGGCCAAAAAAGGTTGAGAATGGTTGTTATAAAGGACTACTTGTCTCATTATGAACTGTTCAAATGGGAAAGTCTTTGGGAGAAGGCCTCTTGACAATACTAATAGCTGCAGAGGCCCACTTGACTGGCATGTGGCAAAGGGCTTTTTCCTGTGTGGCCTTCTCTTTGTGGAATCCATCAAACATGTAATCAATTTCCTGCCTTGTTTCTTTCAGGAAGGGTATGAGAATGCATCTTTTAAAACTGGCTTCTTATATTGTTTAATAGGATGGTGATAATATTAACTGTAGATTTAATGGTTTTTATGGTCTTACTTCGTTTCATTTGGTTTTAATGATTGTATGGTTGCATTTAATTTTATCCTAACCATAAACAGCTTTGAGCACTATCTCGTAGAGGGAGAGGTGAGATAGAAATGTAATAAATAATAATAATAATGGCAGTGATGATAGTACTAACAACAGCAACAATGCTGCTGTTGATTTGTTCATCTGCACAGATGGCATGAAGCCTGTTCTAGATGGTTGCTCTGTCCCTTCATGTCTAAAAGATCATACTCACAGGCTGAGCATATTGATGCGACATTGTTAATAGAGAGAGGTTCAATTGCTTGATGGTTACTTGAAGTGTGTTATTGTCATTTTCAGCTGATTTGCCAGTTGGAACCTTTTCTGGATGGGAAAACCTCATCCACAGCTACCCATGTTCTGGTGACCTCCATAGTGATGCTATAGTGATATTTTGGTTAAGTATCACAGTGCATTGTGCATTGGGCTGCCTTAAAAACAGTTTGGAAACTGAAATTGATGCAGAATTGGGCTTCCTCAACTAGGGTTGGATATTTTACCACAGTTTTATTAGCTGTACTGGATCGAAATTTTTTCAACTAGGGTTGGATATTTTACCACAGTGTAACTGTTTTATTAGCTGTACTGGATCGAAATTTTTGTACATAATTTAAAAGGCAGGTCTTAGCCTCTAAAAGAAGGGGGGGAAGCACGCTACCCCCCATCCCCCTGATGTTTTCTTTAGCCACCACACACATTTTTACATTTCCAGACAATTAAAACAATTTAAACTTCCTTCTCTCAGAAGTTTCCTTAGTATTATCTCAGTGCAATTGGGGCAATTTTACCATGTTTTGAGGGCGGCCACATACTCCCAATCTTTTTAATTGTTTAAACTGTTTTTATCCCGTAGAGCAAAGGGCATGTCATTAATTCTAGTTAAACTTATTTTTCAGTTAACAAAAATCCATCATAGGAACTTTTACAGTGCATAAGCACTGCATTACTTGTAAAAAACAATATAGATATGTAAATTATCTGCTTTAGTCCCACTCCTTAGAAGTATAGCCCTTGAGCATCTGACAGATCTGGAAAATGGCCGTTTATTTATTTACAGTTGTGTTCAAAATTATTCAACCCCCACTGAAATTGAATGTTTTGGCCATTTTGACATTGATTTTGATCATTCAGTCATCTTGCTTACATTTACATGAAAGAGGCACTTGTAGGTCAGAGAAATATAACCTTAAGTTTATAATGAAATAACCACAAATGTCTTTTCTGTGCTCACATCATTATTAGTTTTTATTCAATCCCCAAGTGACATTCAATCTTAGTACTTAGTACAACATCCTTTTACAGTTATAACAGCTTTTAAACGTGAAGCACAGCTTGACACAAGTGTCTTGCAGCGATCTACGGGTATCTTCGCCCATTCTTCATGGGCAAAAGCCTCCAGTTCAGTCAAATTCTTAGGCTTGCGCACTGCAACTGCTTTCTTTAAGTCCCACCAGAGGTTCTCAATCGGATTTAAGTCTGGTGACTGCGATGGCCACTCCAAAATGTTCCAGCCTTTCCTCTGCAACCATGCTCTAGTGGACTTGGAGGTATGCTTAGGATCATTGTCCTGTTGAAAGGTCCAACGTCTCCCAAGCCTCAGGTGTGTGACGGACTGCATCACATTTTCATCCAATATCTCAAAAGGCAAAATAAAAGGGCAAAATAATTAAAATGCAATTAAAATATATATTCTAAAATTTGCCATCAGACCTACAGCTGAGATTGAGATTTTCTCTGCTGAGATTGACGTTATGAGTCAAGGTGTCTCATTTCACAAATGGCCTGTTCAGTTTTGGCACTCTTGTTATGGAAGAACCTTACAGAAAAGGTTGTCCAGTTGCAACATTATAGTGTCTTCCAGGCAAAGACTCCTATATTCACCAAGTCTTCTGATGGGTGTACAGTCCAGATACCTACTCTGGTACTACTTCCTTACTCTGCTTTTATCTCTCAGGCAAGCAGGGGAATATGTATGCCCTCTCCTCTCCCTCACTGTTTTTCTTCATGTGAAAAGTAATCATCAAAGAGGTTTGTCCTCTGTCATATTCTCAACACATGAGCAGAAGCTTTGAAAAATCAAGCTTCTAGCGTGTGTAAACAGTGTATGTGCCAGGAAGAACCTTTGCCCTGTAGATGTTTATTATGTTGAAGATTGTAGCGACAGAGCAGGGAAGGAACCAGGTGTTTCCTTGCTCACATTATGAATAAAGACAGGACAAGTAGTAGGCAGGTGCCTTCATTTTTGTTTTTGCTTCTGTTTTTGTTTTACTCCAGATCGAGAGTTCTTCATTCTGGAAGTTCAGACTGCTAGACCAAAACATAAAGTGTGCTCTCCTGGAGAAAGTTCAGGCTGAGGGACTTCATAGCCCAGATTGCTAAACTTGAGCCTAGCTGCATGTTAGAAAAGGAAATTTGCTCTGCTACTGGCTGTGAGTCCTAGAAATTTCATTTTCTAACAGGCAGCTAGGCAAGAGCTTAGCCTATCCTTGGCCATGAAGCTTTCCAGCCTAGCCTTTGTCCAGGAGAGCACAGTGTGGAGCTCCCAGAATGGAGAATTCAGGGATTTTGAGTAAAATAAGTAAATAATGGTACCTACCTACTACTTACCCTGCCTTATGATTTCTTGCTGTACAAGTAGAGACCTTGACCATGCTCTGATTGTGTCCCTTAAGAGGGATTATTCCTAATTTGGAAATTAACATGAGCATGTTTATAGAAAAATAATACTTTCTTCAGACATTTAAAATGTTTATCTTGTCACAAAGCTCACAATATTACTTGTTCAATATGTAAAATATTGTGGAGACCTGTGCTCAAAAATGGAGTGCAAGCAAGCATTACTAGGGCTTCTCAAACACATTTGGAGTTCAGAATGAACAAGGGTAAAGCTAGCATTGCTGCTTTTCAAAATTTGCTGTGCAGTGTGCTTTTAAGTTGTAGTGTTTTGAAACTTCTCCATCCTTATTTGATATTTTACTTCAGTGGGTTTATAAATTAATTTTTCATCTGCTTGCTATGTTTCTTCAGAAAAATTAAAGCAGAAACTTTTCATTTAATAGGTGTGAAGGAAAAACCAAAAAGCAATACAGAAGACCTGCAGATTAAAAAAGTAAAGAAGAAAAAGAAAAAGAAACATAAAGAGTGTGAAAAAAGGAAGCGTCCAAAAATGTACAGTAAATCTATTCAGACCATCTGCTCAGGACTGCTTTCTGATATTGAGGATCAAGACGCCAAAAGCATTGTTGATAATCATCTTAAGGATTTCAATGGAAAAAATATGGATCCCAATAAGGATTCAGAGTCCAAGATACCAGAGAACAGTGAGTTTCCAATTGTCTCGTTAAAGGAGCCACGGGTTCAAAATAAACTTAAAAGGCTGGACATGTTGGAGTTCAGACAGTTCATTCATACTGAGCACCAGCCTAATGGAGGTGCTTCAGTTATACATGCCTACAGTAATGAACTCTCCCACTTGTCTCCTGTGGAGATGGAGAGATTTGCGGAAGAATTTGTGGGTCTGGTTTTTAGTGAAAATGAAAACTGTTCAGCTTACTATGTAATGGGAATTGTTCATGGGGCAGCTACTTACCTACCTGACTTTTTAGACTACTTTTCATTTAATTTTCCCAATTCGCCAGTGAAAATGGAGATTTTGGGAAAGAAAGATATAGAGACGACGACAATGTCAAATTTTCATGCTCAGGTAAGAAGTTGTTTTTTATTTTATAAAAATACATCATTTCATACTATGTGTACAACTGACGTCTTTCCCTCTGTGTAAGTGAAAATCTGTCCCCCACCCCACCCCAAAAGAGAGAGAATGTAGTTGCTAGGGGAAAAAATTAAAATACTAGTACTTCTTCCTAGTGTCTAGTTCTGCAGAAGATGCTTGCTCTTTGTGTAGCGGTAATTTTGAAATTCTGCTGAGTCAAGCTTATGTGCTTGGTAAAATTGATAATTTAAGGCTCATGTGAGTCCAAAGATTCCTCGTAAATGTGTAGGTTATCTGTTGTATGGCTCCTTCCAGTTAGTCTCTGGCTATGGGTGGCTGTAACGCTTCTATACCCACTACATTGGTAATGGTGGAATGATTCATTCAGATGTGATACAGAGACAGTAGAATTACCCACTGTTAGAAGAAACATGTTGATAGCAGTGATCTTGGAGAAATAAAGCAGGTAACCTTTGTAGGGCTTCTTCCAACTCCTAAACATTCTAATCTTGTATTGTGTTCTACTTCTGGTTTTGGTGAGGAACACATTTCCAGTATGGATAAATACCTACATCCCTCCCACAGTCACAAAGTATTATACATATTATATATTTTGAAGGTGTTCATTTTCTTCAAATTAAGGACTGTATTCCCCACCTCCCTCCAGTGCATTAAATCATTGTGTTAGGAGAACTGCAGTATTTTTCTTCATGTTTCTAATGAGAAGTAAGCCATGCTGAGTTTATGCAAGTGTGTATGAGATTGAAGGCAGCTAATTATATGTGACATGACATTCTGAAAGAAAAAATGGAAAATACAACCCTGAAGTATACAATGCATGTTTCCCTTATGTGAATATGGAAATAATAATATTGAATGGCAAAGTTTTTATCAATCAAGAAGGCTGTTACACATTTATTTCCTTAAATGGGTCAGGGACAATGGTAAACAGGTTTATTTGGTTTCAACTCTGTGTACAGTACCAAATTTATAGGAGCGGGGTCTTTTAATCCTTAGTGTGCTGTTGCTTTCGTAATGAGCAACGAATATCCTCGTTGAGAGCTCTGGAAACTAGCACTGGAAGCCATGTAAAGGAAACCAGTTTAAAACCAAAGGTTAAAGTATATAATGTGTGTCCAAAAATATAGCAACACTGTTTGGTTCAGGATGATATTTGATAATCTACAAATAATAAAAATTATAATTGCAGAGAATAGTCCGGAGCACATTTCAAATTAGATATCTAATTGTACAAAAAAAGGATAATCACAGCTTCTTCAGTATTGAAAAGCGTAACAATGACATTTTACACATTTGCAGGAGTAGTAAAATCTCAGACATAGGCACAAATATTTATCTTGCAGACCTTCAGACCTGAAATTATGATAATACTGTACTATTAAAAAACTTAGCAGAACAGATGAATATAATGACTAAATTTAGTTAAAAGATGTTAAATTTAGTTTAAATTTAGTTAAAAGAAGACCTATTCCTGCAAATGATAATCCAAAATCCAGTAATCCATAGAGGGAAGGTGTTGGCGTAAAGTGCTTCAATGTGAAATCTAAGTAATAAGTAGAATATGAAAATTATAATCAAAATTATTTGGTATATTCTAAAATTCAAAAAATCACTAGCAGAGCTCTGAAGGCAAAATACTAAAAACTGTATAAGATCATAGAATGATATACAGCACCAAAACTCATCACTACCCAATTAGCTGTTAAAAGCCTGTCCAGAAAGCCAACTTGGTCTATCAAGGGATAGCATTCCACAGCCTGTAAGCACCTGCAGAGAAAGTTATGTGCTCAGCTAGCTGGTAGGTTCACTGAGAGCAGGCAGTCGGTCAGATATGGTTCTGAGCAATTTAAGCCTATACAGATAATAACCAACACCTTATTTTGGGCCCTGAAAAAAACGTAGATTAAACTGAGTCAGTATAATATAATCTGATATTAGGGTTATGTTTTACATGGTTGACATTTTTAAGGATTCTTCAATCTCATAGTACAGTCAACCCTCGATTTACGAACATCCCTAGATACGAACTTTTTGATTTACAAATGGCTCCGTTGGCAAAAATTGGCATCGACTTGTGAACGGAGCTCGACCTACGAACAAGGTCAAGGCTCCTTTCG